TGTGCATGTGTGGTGGGTATCCATGTGTACACATGCATATACGTTCACACATGAGGGTCGTCCACGTGTGGGTGTGCCTGTGTGTGCACTGTTACTATGCATATATTCACATATGTGTACACGCATGTGTTCACATGCATGTGGGGTGGTGTGCATGTGTCCGTGTGTGCACATGTGTATGCGTGTGTGTGTCCACGTGTAGGGGGGTGCATATGTATTTGTGTGTCCATATGTGTTTGTGCACGTATGTGTGGTAGGTTACATGTGTAGAATATCCCTGGAAGGACAGTTAAGAGACTGACGGCCTCAACTGCCTCTAGGGAGGACAATTAAGTGATGGCTGTACACTGTCTCAGACTTCCTGAATTTTAGGCCATGTGAGTATATCATCTATTTTAAAGAAATTATAATAAATGAGCAAAAACGTGCTTGAGAAATGTGACCACAGCTTCTGAACAAAGCACACAGAAGCCTTGAGTTGGACTGGCTGGATCTGTGTGTAGAAAGAATGCTCACACCGGAACTGAACTGATCAGTAGATTAGATGTCTCCATTTGATTTTCTCTTAGTGGATCAAATCTGAATGGTAACATCTGACCACAGGCAGAACATATGTCTAGATCCCAAACTTGAGAAATGTGACCACAGCTTCTGAACAAAGCACACAGAAGCCTTCTGAGTTGGACTGGGTGGATCTGTGTGTAGAAAGAATGCTCACACCGGAACTGAACTGATCAGTAGATTAGATGTCTCCATTTGATTTTCTCATAGTGGATCAAATCTGAATGGTAACATCTGACCACAGGCAGAACATATGTCTAGATCCCAAACTGTGTCTCTTCAGAATGCAAGAAAAGGAGATTTTTTAATTCCCATACTAGAAATTACAATATTAAAGTGTGCAGTGGTGTGTCACATATGGGGAACTTTTCCTACAAAAAGATTTACCAAAAATGGACCAATGATGCACAATATTATCCTCCAAAGCAAACCTGGGCATATTCAAGTGAGGTAAATAGCAAGCAAACTATGTCAAAGTGAGGGCCGCTTGTCTGAATTTAGCCCATTTTGAAGAGTGTTTAGCTATTTTAATGAAAAGGAAGGATGTGCATATTAAACAAATTAGACCATTTCGGTCTTTCCACATGAACAGCCTGAGTCAAAGTGAGGGCCGCTTGTCTGAATTTAGCCCATTTTGAAGAGTGTTTAGCTATTTTAATGATAAGGAAGGATGTGCATATTAAACAAATTAGACCATTTCGGTCTTTCCACATGAACAGCCTGAAACACTGGCCCGGGCAGATCCCTGGCTCCGTAACTCTACTCTGTGCTCACCCACAGAACGGACAAAGCCTCATCCCTCTGTCCTCAGCTCACTGCTGAGGTCTGGGGACATCACAGGCAAAGACAGGACACTTTTCCGCCTGTACGTGCAGAAGATATGCTAGATGTCTCTAAATGGTTTTAGATGAAGCCTGATTCAAAGTGATTCCCACCAGTTCATTGGTGATACCCCCATGAAAACAGACAAAATTTAGTTTCAAGAAGGGAGATAACATTGGAGATGGATAATCCTGGAAGCAAACACACACGCGAAGACAGCACCCACTCCATCCACGGCCGATGCCACCACCAAGCAGTGGTCCTCACGTCCCCACAAGGCCAGGGCTGTTACTCTCCTCAGACAGGATAAAGAACCTGCCGCAACGCCACAAAGCCATGGCAGGGAGCCGGGATTAAACTGGCCTTGTCTAACTCCATGGGCTTGGGCACATTTGTCCCCCTTTGTCCTGAGAAGCTGGACTTCAGGGAGCCTTCTGGTCACATATCTCTGGGGAATGTAGGGAAGTCCCCAATCCCTTCCTGGAAAAACGATCATCCACACCCTGCAGGGTGGGCAGAGGGGACAGGCCCCAGGCCAGTCAAGGAATCAGGACCCACATGTTCCAGCACCTGGGGACGTCTGCTGGCCCTACCACACCCGGAGGTACCCTCTTGACATGCCCATGACATGCGCAGGTGCCAAGGACTCTGGCAGGAAGTGAGCCGGCCATGGGCACAGGAGCCCAGCCAGAGCTCCCGGGACTACTTGCAGCTAAGAGCCTAATGCACACCATGTGGCGCAGCTCAGGGCTGCACCCAGCACACTCCACGCTGCTGCACTGACTCCCTTCCCTACAAAGCGTTCTAACAAAGCGAGCAGACTTCATTTCCCTTTGCCCAGCAGCAGGGTTCTGCCAGATGCATACTCACAGGCCAGAGAGGTGGCGCTGGCCGGCAGTGTGGGCGGGAGGAGGTGCTGGTCAGCCTCAGGCTCCTCAGGCTCCAGCGGCCCAGGCTGTGCATGGTAGGTCACCTGGACCTGCAGGGGTGCCGGCGGGCCCCTGGCCTTCTCAGGGCTGCCCAAGTCCTGCAGCTCCTTGGGCTGCAGTGCAGGCCAGATCCTCTCCCGCCGCCACTGGATCAAGGCTACGCGGTCGCGGATAGACTTGGCCACAATCTTCATGTCACTCTCATGGAAGAATCCAGACTCGATCTGCAAAGGCAGTCACGTGTAAGTGTCACCAGAGACCAGCTGGCCCTGCCCCACTCCCCCTTCCTCCCCTGGGCTGCCCACGCTGTTGACACTGTGGGCTCCTCCTCGGGAGTCCCCTGTCCCCCACCTAAACTGGGGCCACAGCTGCTCCCATCACCCATCTCGTTCCTCTCAGGACACTCCTGTCATCCCACAAGTAATTATCCCCCCACCATCAACTGAAATCTGCAGGTGAGGAGGAAAGAGAGACCCCTCCCAGGCCCTGACCTGCCTCCTGCAGAGTCGAGAAGAAGGCTGAAAACTGGAGCAGCCCGTCCCGTCCCTGAGGACCTCCAGAGCTCCCACCCGAGGCCGGCTATGGATGACCATGAGAAGGGGCTCCTGGCTGACTCTGTGCTCAGGGACAGAGGCAGAAGCTGTGGAGCTAATGCTGTCCTCGGCATCCTCTGAGACATCTCAAGGGCCGCCCACAGAGGAGGAAAACGGACACACCTGAGTTCTAAATGCAGGAAGGAGGTGCATTTTGGAATTTGAGACCAGTAAGGCATGCACCAGTGCCTGGCAAAATCCTAAAACTGATTCATCAAACAGCATTTGAGAGCATTTTAAAGGAGCCCCAAGATCTCCAAGAAACATCACTAGTTTGCTGAGAATATCTGTGGCAAAACTACCTTCTTTCTTCCTGAAGAAAGAGGCCCCTATGGAAGGGGCTGCTGTAGCTAGACTGCAGGTGTGGTGACCACAAACATGAAAACCCGTCAGAACTAAAATCTCAAATCCTCCTATGCTTCCCTCCCTCCCTGTGAACCTGTCCCAAAGATACTGGGCTGGGCTTGATAAGCTAGGCACCCAAAGCTCAGCCACCACAGGACATAGGCTGCTCTGAGAAGTGGCAGCTCAGGCTGGGCAGGAAAGGACAGGAGGAGCCCAACACAGAGACACATTCAGAGAGCGACGAGGATAGGCACCCAAAGCTCAGCCACCACAGGACATAGGCTGCTCTGAGAAGTGGCAGCTGAGGCTGGGCAGGAAAGGACAGGAGGAGCCCAACACAGAGACACATTCAGAGAGCGACGAGGATGTGCAAATGACTCGGCAGCCAGTGCCAGGGCCCCCGTGGGCAGATCTGGGGTGTTGTGAGCATCAAAGTGAACAGTGATCTAATGGGTGGAAGGACGTGTCCACAAACTGGCACGTACTGCGCATTTGGGGGATGTAAATAACCCTTGGTGAAGGGGAGCAGGGTGCTGCCGGTGGTGGGGGTGCGGTCTTCCTCCCTCCCTCTCTCTCCTGCCACGTCACGGGCTGCCCTATGCAGGGGCACGCCTGGCAGGGAACGGAGGGCTCCTGCCATGAACCTGGTTGGGTCCAAGACCACAGCCCTGGCCAGTGCCTGACTGTGTGAGGCCAGAGCGTCTCCATTTGGGGGTAATTTGTCCCGCAGCGATTGATAGCTCACATGGGGAAGTATGACCTATTGAGTAAGATAAAACTATGCGTCCACAGAGAGAGAAAGAAACGAATGAATGCAAAGTGAGATGACAAACAGGATAGTTACGAAGGCGAGAGTGACTCCACAGGGAGAAGCCGCCGACGCCCCTCGCCCCAAGCCCTTAGGGAGAACGGCCAGCCTAATGGGACTGCCGGACAGTGAGTCTCTGGGTGGGACTCGGGGAGAACGTGGCCCCTTCAGGGAAATTCCTGTAGACGCATGGCCCGACCACGACCTGCCTGCAGAGGGACCCTGAGCCCATCCTGAGGGCCAGGCCGTGGAAGTCAGGGCACTCTGACTGGTGCTCTTGCTGTGACAGTGTCCCTGAGACAACAGGGACCAAGTGGCCGAGAAAGGGAAGGGTGGACACGTGCTGAAGGTACTTCCCGATGCTGGCCACCACATGCAGGTGTGCAGGGACACGTCCTGGCTTGTAGGAAGAAGACGTGAATGCATTCAGGGGTGATGGGGCAGCAGGTTGGCCACTTATTCGCAAATGGATCATGGGGAAAAATGGGACTTTGTGGTGCCCTTGCAATTTCTCAGTAATCGTTTCAAAAATACTTATTTCAAAAAACAATTCTGTTGGACAGAATGAAGTTCCCTCCTGTAAACATCCCAGGTAGAGGCTTCCCCTGGCTCAGGCAGAGACATCAGCAGGCTGGGCGTGGCTCACTGGAGGCGTGAGCAGCAGCTGACAAGGCACGGGTCAGTGGGACCACAACACTCAGGGTCCCTGCAGCTGCTCTGTGGCAGGGGCAGGCCTCTTGCAAGGTGCCCCAGGAGGATGATCTGCACTCTCAGAAGAGGGACCAGGAGCCAGAGTTCCTCTTTCGGCCTCAGAGTTGGCAGAGGACTTTACTCAGGGAGCCCCAGAGAACAGACTCCAACCCCGGGGGCATCATGGGGGGGCCAAGGCTGGATAAGAGAAGGCCACCAACAGGCCTGATGTTGACTATGGAGCTGGTGGCCCATTGGCAGGTGCCCTCCTTCTTGCTGCACATGAGAGGCTAGAGCCAACCCTAAGGCACCATGTGACCTCAGGGTCCGACCCTCGCTCACCTCTGCCCAGACACCCTACCAGCAGGACCCACACACGGCTGCCCCGACCAGAGACTGCCAAAGAAAACGCCCCACCCCCCTTGCTTCTATTTTCTGCTGACACCATGGCCCACAGCCTGTTTTTCCTTCCACCTCTGTCTTCACAGTCAACTCTGGCCCTTCCTTTCCAAGGTGTTTCTTCTATTTTTTCCCAAACAAGGAAGAATTTAGCTACATCTATGCCACACTGGCATGTCCCATTATCCAGAAGCCATAAAGGCAGAGGAAAGGGCTGGCCCAAGAATCTCCCATCGCTGGGGCTGTGAGCCCCCTTCCCGCCCCTCCCCTGGGGGTCCCTTCCAGATCAAGCCAGCCCAGGTCCCCCGCAGCATCTGCCGTCCCTCAGCCTCTCTCATTCTGCTGTCCTGACCCTTGCCCCCTGCCTGTGGGACCTGTTGGAAGGACTCTGACCCTTTTTCATTCTCTCCCACCTTCGAGGTCGCCTCCAGGAAGAGGCCTCATCTGCACCCCAGAACATCCTCAACACCCACCACTCACTCATCTCAGTTTCTAAGAACAAAAGCAGCCTCAGACCCAGGTGTCTCCTAGACTCAGTGGTGTAGTAATGTCATTTACAGCAAGGTCCCCTCCAGGGGGAGGCCCAGGGCGGGGGAGGAAAAAGTGACTCCTAGACCCCAATGACAGGCTCTACTGTCTCCGATGGGTGGAAAAGACAGTGAGTCAGGACCTGGAAAGGCCCTGTGGGGTCCTAGCACCTAACAACCCGCAAGGCCTGGCAAGGGGCAGGCACAGAGCTGCGAGCCCAACAGGGACAACGCAGCGCTGCTATATGACATGAAGCCCTGCTGCGGGAGGGGCTGGCTTTCAGCTCCTCACAGGCAGCTCCCGAGGTGCTGGGCCTGTTCCGTTTAAGTGGAGTGAGGGATACACACTGTGTTTTTATCGTTCGTTAACTGAACACAAGTCATGTCCCTTCTCCTGCCTGGATGCGCTATTTCACAGATGACACATATCACAATGAAGACAATGTTGTAAAAGACACAGAAGCAGGGGGAGAGGGGGAGAGGGGGGAAAAGGTGCCGGGGCCGTGGGGCTAGATGTGAACTGACCAGGGACACAGCCCAGGAGTTCAGCCATGTGCAGAGGCACGCACAGGAGGTGGTGGGTGGAGGTCACAGCTGCATCCACACAGCCTGTCCCATGGGAGGGGCCAGGCTCTATGTCAATGAAAAGCAGGTTCAGGTTAGAGTTTGGGAGGTGTCCCCTGGCTCACCTGTGTCAGAAGCAGCTTGGCAGCACCAGGGAATGAGATCCAGGACACATTTGGGGTACCACCATCCCGTGACGGAACCAGAGCCAAACTGGAGGCAGCACAGACTGGCTGAGGCATAGATGCCCCAAGCCCTGGGCACCTCCCAGGATGCACCCTCCATGTGGGAATCATCCGTGCTGACCCCCACGTTACTGTGGCACTTGCCCTCAGGCCTCAGTTCCCAAATCCTTCGTGCCCCACCCCACTCAGCCTCAAGCAGGCTCAACCATGTCTGCGTAAGGAATGAGTGAATCTCATTCTACCTGCCCTTCCTGAAGCAATTCTGCCACATCAAAACCTGCACGTCCAAACACCCTGACCATCCTTGCATCGGCCCAGACCTGAGCAGCCAACAGATGCACCCCTTGAAAGGTGAGAACAAGTGCAACTGCCCCGGGCCCCCCCTCACCCCAACGCGTGCATGAGACTCCTGCAGGCCACCCTCCCACTAAGCAGGCTTCTCTCTTCTTGCTTGAAGCGGCCAGCACGTCCCCCACCAGAAGGACACTCTCAGCATGCAGACAGTACACTGTCTCACTCAGCACTTAACACTTGCAATAAAGAGTAGGAAGGGACTGCTGTATCGTATCAATCAACAGAAATGTGCCCCCGAACCCATGGGACGGATGTGCTGGTAATTATCTAAATACAGCTCACAGTAAACCTGCAGCAGTTAAGTTTGGAAACGTCCCTCTGAGCACCACACATACTCATCCACAGCCTGAGAGAACTTCCAGGACACTCAGAGCCAGATGGTCCCATCAGAGCTGCTCACAGTGGAGGTGTCTATGTCCGTGCCAGGGGTGTGACCAGAGACAAGCCAGGTGGGAGGTAGCCAGCCTGGGGACACTTCACAGCGTATAGAGGTGACAGTGCAGCCCGCTCACAGGAGAAGCTACAGAGAAGCCAGCCTGGCTCCAGTCCAGTAACGGGACTTCACACCCACCCTAGGGTGCGACTGCAGTCCTGGGAGCAGGCCGCTGTCCAGGGCAAGGCAGAGCCCTGGCGGAGGCAACAGCAGCCAAGGAGGTGCCTCCTCCCCTCCAGGTCCCAGGCGCTGAGGCCTGTACTCAGGTGAACGCCAGGGTTGCCCCATCCCATGGCTGTGCAGAGGCTGAGGGTGGCAGAAGGAATGTCCCCACGCAGTCCTGTGGTTCAGAGACCTCAGCAGGGCCCAAGCTCACGTAGCTCTGACCCCTCAGCCACATGGAAACCCCAGGAGCAGCCCTGTTCCACCCGCTTCCCTCTTTGGGGGCCATCGCTGCAGAAAGCCCAGCCACGAGGCCTCCACTCCCTTCCAGATCAACCTCGCTGCACACCCTACACCAAACCCCTTACGCACTGGGTTCCCAGGGCCCATGGACAAGCAGCTGCCAGGAGGTCAACTGGCCAGGAGGTCTTCAAGGCCAACAAACATAAGTCC